TGCCATGCTGGAGCCACAGTTATTTATTGACAAGTAAAATTTGCAGAATTTTAAAATATTGTGCACATAATTTTTAGGCACAGAATTCCCTCAGGAGTACAAAGTGCAATGTTCTTGTCGGCCAAAACCCTAATGGGGAAAAATTGTCTTAAGTAAATTGTACTCTATTTTGTTTATTTTGCTTTATACTACATTTTGCTAGTTTTAAATTAGTAAAAAAAAAAAATTGTTCTGAGTTTATTCTTTGCTAATTGTATTAATAATTGTTCTTAAATGAATAAAAGTTTTGTGGCTATAATTATTGCCTTATTTACTGGTTGGCATGTAAGTAAAAAATGTATGGTAATTAATTAAAAAAAGACTGCTGGGCTAAATGGTCAAGAAGGGAGTGAAGGAGTCGAGAGGCACAAACTTTATTATCAGATTTCAGAGTAGCAGCCGTGTTAGTCTGTATCCACAAAAAGAACAGGAGTACTTGTGGCACCTTAGAGACTAACAAATTTATTAGAGCATAATGGACACAAATCTGACATCAGGAATCATAATACTCAAAAACCAGTGGGAGAACACTTTAACCTGTCTGGCCATTCTATGACAGACCTGCGGGTGGTTATCTTAAAACAGAAAAACTTCAAAAACAGACTCCAACGAGAGACTGCTGAGCTGGAATTGATATGCAAACTAGATACGATCAACTCAGGATTAAATAAAGACTGGGAATGGCTGAGCCATTACAAACATTGAATCTATCTCCCTTTGTAAGTATTCTCACACTTCTTATCAAACTGTCTGTACTGGGCTATCTTGATTATCACTTCAAAAGTTTTTTTCTCTTACTTAATTGGCCTCTCAGAGTTGGTAAGACAACTCGCACCTGTTCATGCTCTCTGTATGTGTGTGTATATATATCTCCTCAATATATGTTTCACTCTATATGCATCCGAAGAAGTGGGTTGTAGCCCACGAAAGCTTATGCTCTAATAAATTTGTTAGTCTCTAAGGTGCCACAAGTACTCCTGTTCTTTTTATTATCAGAATCACCCAGATGGCAAATTGACAACCCTAAAGCAAAGGCATACACCCTAAAAACAAAATGAAAAATAAAGCCAAAAAAACAAACAAACAAAAAAAAGAGGCAAATAGTCCAAGTAACAACTCAAATAATGCTAATTAAAGCAACCTTAACTACCTCATAATTAACAGCTCCGGTGTAACACAGCAAGGTCCAAACACTTGTATAAAAACTTCTTACTATAAAGAAAAGAGTGTATTGCCATGGGACTTTGGGTTCGTTCTGCATCAACATCAAAGCTTCGAACGCATTCGACAAAGGCCCAGCTCCCCTCCTTTGTGTGCAGTTTCAGCTGGTCACTGTAACTGACCAAGCAACACTAAAAACTGGTAACTATACAATCCAGCTGCAAAAGTAAGTATGTAAGTATGAGTGTGAGTGTGAGTGTCAAAGCATATGCTGATTTTAATGCTTAAAAGTGTATTGCCTTATCCCCTTTTAAAAAACTTGTGTGCTTCTTATAACATCTTATAACATTCTGAATCGCCATTTTCCACATGACAACAGCGAATAACTGTCTCAGAATAACTACAGCTGTATCTGTTGCAACTACACCAAATTTGTTATTCATTTGTGCTCTATAAATACACAAAAGTGGTTTAAAAAGCAAAGTGTCACATAATTAATCCAAATTTTAAAGGTTTACATAAAAAGCACATTTAAAGAAAAGCTGTAATAAAACTATGGATTCCAACCTAATTTTAACAATTGCTACGTTTAACAGGTATTTGAATTGCAAATGAAATACAGCACTTACGAATTAATTTGAAATTAAACTTTGGTTTTATTTTGGCTAAATTATAAAAACAATATACTGGAAATCTACAATGATTTGTAGTATTTATATTTGTAAGCCCTTTTGAGACTATATCTTTTTCTGTTCTGTAAAGAACTCTATTCATTTGCAGTCTTTTTAAAAATACTAATACTAATATAGAGGCCAACAGCCTAGAAGGATTCAAAATTCCAAAAAGGATTAGATATTTATATAAATACTGAGAATATATTCAGTCAAATTAGATGGGATTATGTTTTAAAAAGTACTCAAAAACCACAGCTTTAGAGCAATATAGACCTTTAATACTTCAGGACATAAGCCTACCTCTAACTGAGGGGATTAATAAGAAATTTCCTGTTAACAATTTGTTTCATAGTTGCCCACTTCCTAGTTCTTGCACATCTGGTAACAGCTGCTGTCACTTGGAGAACACTGGCCTACCTAAACCACTGGTTTGGTTAAATAAAGCAACTCCTAAGTTCATACGGTCACTCTCTAAAGGAAGATTGGCACAGAACCTTTGATAAGGAAATGGGGTTTGATAATATTAATTTCTAGCTAATATATATCATTTTTCACTTGCAGACTCCCATTTCTATTTTAGAGATGATTTCATTTTCACCAGGAAACCATTTTTCAAAGGGCTATGCCGACCCCTTGCTTTCAACCCCTTGTATGACTTTTTGAGGCATCTTAACAAAAAAGGTTGCAAGAAACAAATACCAGTATCCCAGAACACCTGGAGCACGAACACCGGTGCCCTGCGCGCTGTGTGTGCGCGCCTCACCCCTCTGTGTTTTTTCCTACCCTTCCCTTATACAAGGGATCTCGGGCACCTGTCCTGGGGGTTTACTAGGCGCCCCTTCCCGCGGAGAGCTTCTCTGCCGACCCACTTACACTGGCCATTCACCCGTCCTCACCCTCCCAAATTGGGAATATCAGCAGCGGGCGAAACGCTCCACCCCAGCGCCTACTCCTGCTTCCCTCGGCAGCTCCCGGGCCTCTCCTCACTCAGGGAGCGGCGAAGGCAGAAGAGGCCTCCGCTCGCAGAAAGGCTCCACACGCAGCCTTAAGCAGACGGGTTTAGCCGCCGGGAGGGGCAATCCTTAAGCGGGTGTGAAAGGTGTATGGCTAGGCAGCTGCCCAGCGGCCCTCCCCAATTGAGGCCCTGCCTGCGGCGCGGAGCAGTGGCGCAGCATTGGACGCTCGGCGGAGACGGCGGCTGCTGTTGCTCAAGCGGGGCCTGGCCCTACCTGCGCGCGTGAGCCGGGGGCCGGGCCGGGGGCCTGGGCGCAGCAGGAGGTGCCGGTTCCGCAATCTGTCTGCGGCCGGCTCAGTTTCTCCTCGGGCAGCTGATTTCCCTCGAACTCAGCCCCTCCCTGGTAGGATTCCTGTCAGGACAGCATCGCTAAGACCCGGATGGAGCCGCTCTTCCTTCCCTTCCCACAGTGACCAGGCTCCGAGGCCCCGGATGGAACCGCCCCGCCTATCCTACCCCAGGGGCCAGCGACCGCGGATGTAGTTCCCCGCTTCAGCAGCCCTGACAGCCGCAGGGCCGGGAGGAACACTGGGACCCGGATAAAGTTCTCCGTCGCTCCTCCCATTAGTCCATTCTCCAAGCACCCGGATGGCGCGCTCCCGTCAGGCACAGCGGCGGAGGATCCGGATCCTCCTCAGCCGATAGGCCTCTTCCGTGACTGCTATTAGTATCCCGGATGTGATCTCTCTCTTCTCGTGTTCCGTCCGGGCCGAGCCCGCCCCCACTTCACCATAGAGATGACAGCGTGGGCCGCGGAGCCTGCTGGGAAGGAGGAGGCGGCGGCGTGCGTGGGGGCGTGCAGAGAGCCTCAGCCGGCGGCTGGTGGCAGCGGCTGCTCCTTGTGAGCCTGTGAACCGCCACCATGTCGGGAGGAGGCAGCGCCGGGGAGTGGTGCCTGATGGAGAGCGACCCGGGCGTCTTCACTGAGCTCATCAAGGGCTTTGGTGAGGGGCCGAGCGGGGCCCGGGCAGGGGGCTGGGACCGGCGTCTGGGCAGGTGGCGGGCGGGCGGGCGGGCACTTTCGAGGCCTGCCGCTGCTCCTCCGTCTCTTGCGGGAGGGGGGTGGCTCGTCGCTTCGGGATCTTCCTGAACTTCGCCCCTAGCCTCTTCAGCGGCGTTGCTGGGGTGCGACCCCCTCCCCCCCCCAGCAGATGCAGATGAGACGAGGCGGGCTGAGGCGGCAGTTTTGCTCAGTGGGATCAGACACAGAGATGCCCAAATCCCCGCGAGCCAGACATCCCCCTCCGCTGGGAGGGCGCAGTGCCCAGCACCTGCTCAGCTTCTGCAGGGCTAGCTCTTCGCAGGGGAAGCCACAGCCCGCTCTTCTGCTCCTACGCTTCAGCCTGCCTCGACACATCCCAGCCTGCAGTACGGTTCAGCTCCCCCGAAACCCAGTCGGGTCCCATTTGTGCTTGAAAATGGGACTACATGGTTGTTATGAGGCGGCTTCGGCCCTCAAGCACTGAACTGATGCTGTTTCTTTGAGGAAGACCTTGCCCTCATGCTCAGTAAGGCTAGGTCTACACTACCCGCCTGAATCGGCGGGGAGAAATCGACCTCTCGGGGATCGAATTATCACGTCTCGTCGGGACGCAACAAGCGATCCTCGAATCGACGCTCTTACTCCACCAGCGGAGGTGGGAGTAAGCGCCGTCGACGGGAAGCCGCGGAGGTCGATTTTGCCACTGCCCTTACAGCGGGGTAAGTCAGCTGCGATACGTCGAATTCAGCTACGCTATTCGCGTAGCTGAATTTGCATATCTTAAATTGACACACACACCCCCCCCCGTAGTGAAGACGTAGCCTAACTGTAGTGACCCCTGCCCAGGGTGTACCTATTAGCATTTTGAGAGTAACTAAAAAAAAAATCCTGAATGAATAAACTTGTACAGAGGTTTGCATGAGCATGTGCCTGCTGATCTGTGAGAGATTTCTTCTATCTCAGTATGTACAACATGTTGCATTTAAGATGTAATACTTACATAGCACACTTGCATCTTCCAAGCACTTTATAAATGGTAACTAGTACTCAGAAAACTTGTGTGAAGTAGGTAAATAATATCTTAATTTTACAAATTTGGATACTGAGTTACAGAGGACCAAGTTCTGTCTTGATTTACACCAAATACAATGCAATTGAAACTACTGGGATTTTATGGATTGTAAATCAACATAGAATTTGGCCCAAAGAAGCTAAATTGCGTATCCAGTTCCACAAAGTAGATTAGAGTCCTTTACTAGAGTATCTTGACTTATAGTTCCAAGCATGTTTCTTACCTGCTCCATCTTTTTCCCCCTCACTTATCTGACCCATGAATAAGTCTGACTTTTTACACCAGGGGTTGCAAAAATGCCTTAGTAGTGACACTGGCGTGGGCACTTAAGCCATCCATTTTTGCAAGCCATCAATTTTTTTCTTTTTTTAAAATAAAAAGTTTCCGTCCTTCATGGCTGTGAAGATGAAATGTGAATTGTAAACTGTTGTAGTGTTCCTATGCTGGAGTCTTCAGACACAGGTCCAGTGTGTCTACTTTTACTTGCAACTTTGTGAAGCAGCACAACCCAAATGAGTTTAACAAGTTTCTGGGCAGTAAAACTATTGCTGTTGAGAATCATTTGGGCAGCACTGAATTTGTCAAATCATATTAATTTCATGCTGCCGCTGTTTATGAAAGCTAAGGGACAGGCAGTGTAATTATTCACAATTTTGGAGGGAGGTGGGCGAGGTGGGAGCATGGTAGAATAGCAGAGACTTTCCTGCAGTCCAGAAAGCCTAAGAAGGGTAAAATACTGGAGATTTGATCCTACTCTTTAGGAGGCTGTATCTTCCAGAAAGAGGAAGAATTCTAGAGGGATGTGGAGCTAAGCTTTATCACATGAACTAGCCAAAAGCTGATATGAAGATTCCCCTTTCCAAGATCCTCAGACACCTTCTTGGAAGAAATTTCAGCATACTTCCCAGCAGGTGTTGATTGCAGGATGGGCTGAATTTCTCACCAAGGATTTGCCCCTGTACTTCACCAGCAAAGCCTGCCCCACTCCCATCCTTTGTATCTACATCTGGCTAGTAGATCTAATTTTCCAGCTCGTACATCTCTGGAAAACTTCTCAAACTCTGTTTTACATAGTCTGATTCAGTAAACTCGTGTGATGGCTAACTTAATTTCTTCTGTAGGTAATGAGGAAGAAATTAATATTATTTGACGATTGGATGATGCAAAGGACTGGTAATGGGATAAAAAGTGTTTTGTTTTTACATTTGTGTCAGTGTCAAATTTGATCAATTTAAATGATGATCAAATTTGAAAGCCATTCAGTTGCCTGTGTTGCGTGAATTGTACTGGCTGTGTGTCTGATATGTAGAGCAAGAGCATTATCAAACTGTGTATCTGCAACCTCCTCCCCTAGGGATAATTTGACAATTTGTTTTCTATGGAACCTGTTCCTTATTCACTCTTCCAGACTCCCACTGAAATAGGCTTAGATCCTCAGATGCTACAAACATCCATCAATAAACATTCTGTCAATTCTTGGAGGATTTTTTTTTTTTATGAGAGAGGAACCCAAAGCCTCATTGGAAGCCTTAGGATTGAAACAAAAGACTGAGATACATCTGAGGACTGGTCTTGATTGGTTGAATGTTGTACTATGTTATGAAAAAAAGATTGGTTCTCTCTTAACGGGCCTGGTTAAAAGGCTACCTCTTAATTGGCACTGTTGGCAGGATTCTCAGTGAAGTGAAAGACTGAAAATGAACTATGAAGACTGAATCATCCTCATTCCTAGAGATGGTCCTACCAGGTCAAAGCTGAGGCATATTGGCAAGCTGTGCAGGAAGCTTGTACTGATACTTGGTTTATGGGCAAATTGAGAACTTTAGTCTCCAGGATTGCCTAGTTTGCTCCCTTTCATGAGTACTGGCCTGATTTTTACAAGAACTATTTGTGTAGTACAGACGCTTCCCGACTTGCACAAAATTTGAGTTACGCAAGGCGTTCAGCAATGTATCTCCGACCAATCCTTCCTCCCCCCCCCCCCCAAAAAAAAAACAACCCCCCCCCCCCCAAACTCCTATTTCTAGCTTACGGAACTTTTTCCATAAGCTCGGATTTTCATACGTTGGATTTACGTAACTCGGGGAGCATCTGTAGTTAAATCTGAATGAATATTAATTCAAATTAATGTTTATGTAGTGTTTTACATGCTTTTACCTACATACAGTATCTTAAAATTGCTGTCAGTCACAAAGTGAAGTTTAGTGGCATTATGAGATTCTTGTGGTTCTCCATTAAAATATTTGACTGTTTCTTAGTCAGTCAACAGTGATTTCTCTTATCTCTCTATAAAATTACGCAAACTGGACTAAACAATTTTTTTTCTCTAATCTTTCATCCATATCAGTCATAGGCTTTTTTTCTTCTTAAGTCTGGGCTTAGTTATAAGTATGTTTCTTTAAGTGTGTGTTGTTGGGTTTTTTTTGGTTTTTGTTGTTGTTTTATTTCCCCTCTCCAAGGTAGGATAATTAAAACTATATCTTTGCTTTTCCAGGTTGCAGGGGAGCACAAGTTGAAGAAATATGGAGTCTGGAGCCAGAGAACTTTGAAAAATTAAAGTAAGCTATTGGATCTACAAAAGCAGTCTCCTTAGATAAGATTTGTTTAGTCTAGGTTCTTTGTGAAATCACCGAAGATGCATTGTATTGCTACTTGTCCAATATACTGTATTGCTTTTGGTTTCTATAGCAATTTGCCAGGATTTTAAGCCCTTGTTATACAATACATTCAAGTTGTGAACTTTCAGATGTGCCTTTTATTGTTTAAACTAGCTTCCCTCTTTATGGGAAGTGACCTAGACCAGTGGCTAGAGCATAGGACTAGGAATTAATCAGCATTGCTATTGACTGACTTGCCCAATAGGAACACACAGTAAATTGCTCTATTCCTTGGGGTTTTGCAGTGATATTTAAAGTATCTACCACCTTAAATTAATTTATTGCACTTGTGCACAACTACAGCCTCTTTCTTGTTAATCTCTCTCCTGTCAACACTAATTTTGTTGTCATTCTGCAGGTCTGATCAAGAGCATTGTATTTGTTCATGTATAGTACCTTAAAAGAAAAGTATCACCTAATCTTCTACTTCACTCCTGTGCAAATATCCTACTCTATAATCTTCTAAAAAATAGGACAAGAAGTACAGAATGTAGGGTCTCAACAGTTATCTGACTAAAGCTTCTTAGGTTAGCAATGTATTTGAACTAGAGGCCCTCAA